CTTGTGTGTTCTCAACAGTACTGATAGGTAAGCCTGATTCTACGAAAAATGATAACTTTTCTCAGCTTGATAGACAGCTCTAAGTATAATTTGACTAACCTTGACCCGAGACATTGGGTTCAATACAACTCAAGCGAAACCACCTAGGTGATGCTGCAAATTCTCGCTAATATGTTTGAGAAAACGAAGGTAGAAAATAAAGTATATTTGGTTCACAATCTGTGCAATATGAGGATGTCGTACAACACACCAATTCCTATGCACTTGAGTGAGTTCAATCAAATCACCCAGGAACTGGCATTGGTAAAATTTGAATTGGATGATGAGATGAAAACAGTGTTTCTACTATTCTCCCTACCGGAAAGTTCAAACCTGACAATGACGGTAGTAAGTTCAAAATATGGAGCCACACCAATGAAATTTGATAACATTATATACCTAATTTTGAACTAGGATACTAGCAGAAGATCTGAACCCAATGGGAGCAATTTAGTACCCTTGACTAGAGGAATAAGCTATTATCGAAACAAGTCTGCATGCATGAGGTCTAAGTCCCGAGAAAAGTCTAAAAACATGTCCCAGGTAAATGATGAAATTGTAGAAAGCTTAAAAATTACCTATCTAAATGTAGGGAACCAATAAGGAGAAAAAAGAAGAGTCCGACGCAACTTATACAATAACAGAAGAGGTTCAAGATGCATTGATAATGACTATACACAAAAATGAGGATGAATAGGTGGTTGAAACTAAATCATCATACCATTCCACTTCCATTGTATCTGGTATGACTTCTTATACTCTTATGGGTTTGGGTATGATTATTAAAACTCCAGCCGATTAGTTGTGTAAATTGCATGATGTTCATTACATTTCTGGATCCATGATAAATTAGATATCTATTGGCTAGTTAGATGATATTTAATATTGTATTAGAATCGGTGGAGGAAAATAGAAAGTCAGGCTTTGAGCATTGACGATCAACAAAGGTCAAATTTTGGAATGCTTCATGTTAGTGACCCATAGTTTAGTAAGTTCATATTTTCAGGTGTCATGGAAGATGCCAAATTATGGCATGCATGGATGGGTCACATAAAAGACAAGGTATTGAAAATAATGCAAAATGAAGGGTTAACTCCCAAAATTTTCAAATCCCGAAGTTCGCAGCTGTGAGCACTTTATTCTTGGCAAGAAAAAAAAGGTAATATTTTCATATTGTAGAAAATTAAAGTAATAAAAATTAGAGCTAGTACACTCAAACGTGTGGGACCCAATACCTATAACCCCTTTCAGGGGTGTGTCATTTTATAACTTTTATAGATGACTCCACGAGAAATATATGGGTATACTTGAGGTATTCAAGAAGTGGAAAGCCCTGGTAGAAATTAAGACGAGTCTCAAATTGAAGTGTCTTAGATCTAACAATGTTGGAGAATATAAAACACTCAAGTCCTACTGTGTCAAGCAAAGAATCAGACTCGAAAAGACTGTATTAGGGACACCCCAACAAAATAGAATTGCTGAAAGAATGAATCAAACAATGACTGAACGTGTATGGTGCATGCATCTAAAAGGTGACCTATTGGAGATATTTTGGGCCGTGACGATAAACAAGTGGCTCACCTAATCAACCGAGGACCTTCAGTACCCCTAGACTTTGGCATTTCTGAAGAAAAATGGAGTGGTAAAAATGTAGAATTAAAATATTTAAAAAATTTTGGTTGTTTAGCTTATGTCATATCTACTAGTAATAAGCTGGGTCCAAAATCAATAAAATATACCTTTACTGGGTATATAGGGGAGATGAGTTTGGATATTGATTTTGAGATGATGAAAACCGAAAAGTGATCAGGGGCCAGGATGTAGTATTTGACAAGACTTCATTCAATAAGGAGAGAAACAAAATGAAGACTTTCACACAACATGACAAAGTGCAAGACTTCACATCAAGAGTTTCATATGCCATCCGAGACATTGGAACAACACCCCATTCAGGTGAGTAAGTTCAAAATGATGGTCTAGCTACTCCGGAACAACATTATTCTAGATCCCCTAGAATAAAATAATGATCCAAACATTCCGTTGGCTATCAAAAGAGAAAAGAGAAAGATACGCCAACCCTAGAGGTATTCTCCATGCCTAAACTTTATTCGTTTAACTGACTGTGGAGAACCAATGTCTATTGCAGAGGTTCAAACCATCCTGATCGTGATAAATGAAAGCTTTCCATGAAAGAAGTTATTAAAGCTTTGGAGACTAACAAAAATTGAGAATTGTGAGAATTTCCCAAAGGAAAGAAAACATTAGAAAACATGTGGGTGTTCACGATAAATGAGGAAGTCGATGACTCAAAGAGATACAAGACAAACTGGTGGCAAAGGGATTCCAACAAAGATATCAAATTGACTGTATGGACGTATTCACCCTAGTGGTCAAAATCACAACGTTTCGCTTGGAGTTAAGCATTGTTGCCACAAAAAACCTTGAGTTGCAGCAACTTGATGTCAAAACTCTTTTCCCGCATAGACACCTGGATGAGGAGATTGATATAGTCCAGCCAAAAGGGTATTCAGTTGATAAAATTTTGGTGTGTAAGAAAGCTTGTACGGTTTAAAACAAGCTTCAAGGTAGTGGTATAGAAAGTTTGATAATTACATGCTCGAGATCGGATTTGAGCACACAAATGCCGATCACTACTGCTACTTGAAAAGGTAAAAAAACTTCCTACCTATTTTTATTACTATATGTTTGATGATATGCTATTAGCCAGTGATAGTGTAGAAAAGATAAACCAGTTGAAACAACAATACACATGTTTATTCGCCACAAAGGATCTTGGTGATGCTTGAAAAGTTCTTGGGATGTGGATAACTCGGGATAGACAATAAGAGTGGTTGAGGTTGTTCCAATCAAAATATATTAAGAAGGTTTTGGAAAAATTCAACATGTTAGATGCCAAGTTAATAAGTACTCCACTTGCTGCATAGTTCAATCTGTCCAACAGAGACTCACCACAGTCAGAGTTGGTACTTGAGAAAATGGCTGATCTTCCATATGCTTCAACAATTGGAAGTTTAATGTATATGATGATGTGTACCAGACTAGACATCGAATATGCTGTGTGGATCGTCAATAGTTATATGAGTAATCCAGAAAAGACTTATGTCTACTATTAAAAAATAATCCTTACTTTGTGTGATTTTGTGGATGCTAACTTAGCAAGGAGTGACTTGGACAAAGAGAGAAGCACCATTGATATGTTTTTATCTTTGGCGGCACTACAGTGATGTGGGTATCGAATCTGATGAAAGTATTTGCACTATAAAAAATTGATACTTAATATATTGTTGTGACAGAAGCTGCTAAGGAAATGGTGTGGCTAAAAGGATTTCTGAAGGAATTAGAAAAAAGTCAATTGAATGGGAAACTATACAATGATATTCAAAACGTCATTCACTTGGGAAAGAAACCTGAATTTCATTCGAGGACCAAGTACATCAAATAAAATAACTTTAAAAGATTTAGCGGGAGAGAAATCTAACAGAGATGTTTACAAAAGTTGTCACCTTCGACAAATTGAAGCTGTGTTCAGCCTCAACGGGTCTAAATGATTGAAAAGACCCGACAGACCAAGTCTAGCGAGAAACCAAAGAATGGTGGAAACCTATGTCGGAAAAGAAGGGGAGATTTGTTGAGCAATTCTTTCCCCACATCATCACTATTTGTCAAGGAAGAGAAAAATGTAACAGATTTATGTGGTTTAATTATGACTTAATTTTGGCTTCAAATGCATTCATAATGTAACAAATTTATGTGGCTTAATCAAGGCTTACTGTGTCTTTAAATATAGGATTAATAGGCTCATTTCTTGCTGTAAATGATCAAGCAATTTTGGGCACGTGATTTGATCGGGAGGTAGGTAATGTGTGTTTGCTTATAAATACATGTTTGAAATTCTCATTTTAATCTAAGAACCAAACACAAGTAAAGTGTAGTACGTGTGGAAGTTGTGGTAGTCAAGAGTAATCGTTGTAATTCTCTTTTTCTCTATTGTTAATATCTCTTGGTATGGCCGCTCTCAAACGTAGGTAGTAATATCGAGCTAGGTAAACAAATATTTGCGTGCTTTCATTTTGTTGTTCATAGCACTTGTTATGTTCCAATATATACTTTAGTGTATATCTTGGTTGAGTTTGATCCCAACAATGTAATGGTGAGATCTTACCTATCCTTTCACTTTAGATATATATATATATATATATACCTAAATTGTCTTTTAAGTAACTGGTGGTTCACCAACTTGTTCTTCAAGAAACTTCTTCACAATTTCCAAACAATCTTAAGAACCCAAGAATGCTTTTACTTTAATCTTCAAAATGTTGTAATTGTCTTTGGCAAGACGAGGAAATTTGGAACGTTAACATATTTTGTATCATAGTTTCAGCTAGAGGCAATCGAAAAAGAGTAGAAGAAGCAACTCAATAAGATAATTAGAAGCACAACAATACAAAACACAAATAAAAATAAATAGATAAATCTAGCAACAACACAATTAAAATTTTCAGCAATTTCTACACAAGTCCAACATCAGTTGATACCACATTGTTGGAGCAAAAGTGAAACAATGATGAACAAAGAAGAATTTTATTTCTCTTGTGGAGGCCTTTTGACAATCTCCCACGCAAATCATCACTCGTGTTTCTATTTGATGATATAATCTTGATGAAGACCTCTATTTATGAGGTTTTTAACACGCATCAACCTTTTACATTAATCACATACCCACTGTAATATTAATAATTCACCAAATATATTCTCCCACCCTATATTAATTCAATTTTAATGTCCAACAAGTTTCTTTGAAATGAATTATTGTTTGATATGATATTCGGTATAGAAATTGGATATATATGTTGGACCAGATACACATATCCCAATATTTGTTAGGTAAATTTGGTTTGAAATCTTTATTAATATTTGTACCATTTTGTTGTATCAAACAGGTTACATATCCCGACATGGTGGAATTTATGAATAGCTTAGGAGTTGACATGGATCCCTCGGACATGTCATTTTCGGTGAGCTTGTCAGAAAGCCGACAATGGGAATGGGGAACAAGTAATGGTCTCTTGAGCCTGTTCGCTCAAAAGGCCAATATAATCAATCCATCCTTTTGGAAGTTCATTCGAGAACTCAACAAGTTTAAAATTGACTCCATCAAGTGAGTAAAACCACAAGAAAAATAGCTGTGTAATGAGTAAAGAAATACGATAAGTTTCACGAGCATGATAAGCAAAAATATTGTGAATTTTCAGTTATTTGGACAAGCTTGAACACAATCCCGGCATCGATCAAAATGCAACGATGAAGCAATTTCTTACTTCCTACCAGTACTCCAAATCGTTCCAGAAGGCTTTCCTTGTAAGCTTCTCACATATTGTCCAAATATGTATGTATGCAAAGTGACTGGTAACTTAATTACTTATTTTCAGGTTCCATTCTGTGCTTCAATTTGGTCGGGTGGTTCTTCGGATGTAATGAATCTATCAGCCTACACTGTGCTTTCTTTTTTCAGAAATCACCACACTCTTCAGGTAAATTTTATTTGTTCATTATATTTGCAACATCATCAACTTGTCAATTTCTGAATAAGGAATCATGATTATTTTCAACTGCGTTCTGGTTATATTTTGTCCAGCAACTCTATGGTCGTTCTCAAGGGCTGAATCTGAAACAACATTCAGAAGATTACATAACAAGAGTACGCACATTGAAAATAATTATATCCAAGTCATAATAACTGTTTTACATAAATACCACCTGATCTCATTCCCCTTCTACTAAACTTTGAAACAGATCAAGCATCAGTTGGAACTCCGAGGTTGTCAAATAAAAACCAACTCCGAAGTACACTTAGTTTCAACTAATGAAAACCGTAAGATTGTTTGATGTTACCATTCTATGTAGCTGTATGTAAGCAAAACTATTTATATATGTCCTCAACTATGTATGTATGTAGGTTGTTCTGTGATTAGTAAGGATGGGTCAGATGAAGCATACGATAGGTGCATAATTGCTTTGAATGCTCAAGACGCTTTGAAATTATTAGGGAAAGAAGTGACGTATGATGAGTTAAGAATACTTGGAGCATTCCAATATGCCAATAGGTATCAACACATATTAATCTATCATTGCATACAAATCAAATCCACGAGTCATTTAAATTATTCTTTTATGTAGATACGGTATACATATTTTGGGTTTTGAGTGCAAGTGATTCTTTTTCCTTTATCTTCTTAATGGCAGCGATGTTTATCTTCACCACGACAATAGTTTAATGCCCAAGAATCGGTCAGCTTGGAGCTCATGGAACTTTAAAGAAACCAGTGATGGCAATGGCTACTATATTACATACTGGCTTGATCCAGTGAAGGTGTGTGATAGAAATTATTTTTCAACTGTGACAGGCTTCACATTTACCTCACAACATCTTTGTTCTTGTAACAATGAAAACATAATTGCAGAATTACATGGGTGAGACGGGGCTTCCATATCTTTTGTCTGTGAATCCACCTTGTGTGCCTGAACATATGTTGTGCAAGTGGTCTACATCCCACCCAATCCCCTCGGTGGCGGCATGGAAAGCTTTGTCTGAACTTAATCTTATCCAAGGAAAGAGGAGATTATGGTTTTGTGGTGCATATCAAGGTGCATATTATCATTGTATATTTATTTTAATTCAGTAAATTTTGTTTATTATGCTTTCTTAACATTCTTGATTTTAATTCTTCTCATATTATGCATTTCCCAGGATATGGCTTCAACGAGGATGGATTGAGGGTACTATTTTATTTCACACTTGTCTCGAGCAGCGCTTTTTTATTTTTATTTATAGTTATCGCTAGCTATATGTTTTTGTATAATCGAATGATATGTTGGATTGTTGCAGGCAGGTATGCATGTTGCAAATAATCTACTAGGGAAAGGCTTCAGAGTTCAAAAAAATAATCCAAAGCACATGGTGCCATCTTGGCTTGAAGCAGCAGCTCGTCTAGTTGTGACTACGTTTTTCGGGCATTTTATTGCCACTGGATGCCTAATGTAAGATTTTCATGGTATACAGAGTGATTAAGTCTAAAATATTCGTATGAAAACTGGTTAGTTATAACACAATGTGTGATACACACAGTCTAGTAGAAGATGGCGGCGCAAGTTTTACATTTGAAGGTGCTAGAAAGTTGAACGTCCCGAAAGTCTACTTGAGAGTACACAGTCCTCGGTTTTACTGGAAGGTTAACAGGATTTTATTTATTTATTTATATTTTTGAATTACCACCACCTCAATTAAAAGTTTAAGATTGTTGTCAAATGACAACCACATCTAGAAGGATAACCATTGCAGGCTGCAACAGAATCCGACATAGGCTTTGCCGATGCTTACATCAATGGGGAAATATCATTTGTAGATAAGAAGGAAGGTCTCCTTAACCTAATCACAGTAAGATTAATTCTCATTTGATTTAGTAGGGTGTTTACTTTTATATTCAGTGTCCCTGTCAAGCATTTCTTGCATGGGGTGACAATATAATATTGACTACGCTATTGTACATGTATAGATATTTTCAGCCAACATTGAACTAAGCACTTGTGCATCAAATGTCGGAAAGAAAAGGTAATGAATGTCATGTAAAAATTTGATTGTCTACTCCTTCTATGAAAAAATTGGTCGTCATCGTAACAGTTGTAGTGTATACATAACACAGAGGATGGTGGACGCCATTGCTTTTCACTTCAGTCATTGCATCTGCAAAATACTTTTTCAACAACATTTCAAAGAGAAATTCGATACCTCAAGCCCGACTGAACATCGCCAGTCACTATGACTTGGTAAGCCATTTTCTTCCTGAATAACTACTGTTCCGATCCTCTATGTTTGTACACCGACATCTTTGTATCTTATTCTTTACAGAGTAATGAATTATTTTCCTTGTTTATGGATGAGACAATGACATACTCGTGTGCAGTATTTAAGGTTAGTATTGAACTTCTCTGGTGTCATGCAGATCATGCATGTGTTTGTTTAATTTTCTTACACAACTTATCCTATAATTAATTTTGTCTCTAGACACCGAGCGAAGAAGACTTGAAGACTGCACAATTGAGAAAACTGCATGGTCTGATCAACAAGGTGGTGTGATACATTTGACATAAAATAATTCTAGTATTTATGCAATTCTAATTTATTTAATTTCTAGCTACTCTCAATGCATACAAACACTAGAACAAAATGTTGACCTTAGCTCAAATTACCAAATCTCTGGTGACATTCATTAGTAATGAAATGAGCAGTTCCAGAAAGAAGGTGATGCTTATCAACACTGAAGCAAGCAACTAATTAATTGCTATAACTCAAATTCGCGTAAGGTGAACTGATAGAATGGTTGCTTAATTAGTTAGGCCCGAATGACTTGTGAATGATTCTAAATTATATAGGCGAGAATCGATAGTGAACACCACATTCTAGAGCTGGGATGTGGTTGGGGAAGTTTGGCGATCGAGGCGGTCAAACGAACAGGATGCAAATACACAGGAATCACCCTCTCCAAAGAACAAGTCAAGTATGCAGAAGAGGCAGTAGAGAAAGCAGGCCTCCAGGTATAGTTTTTAATTGGATGAATGCAGAAAGGAATACCAACTCGTTTTTATAAGGTAGATTTTTATAGTTTGCATAGAAACCTCAGTCTGTTAAAACAACATACGAAAACAAGGGACTTAAGTAAGTCTCAATATACATCATGTTTAATTAGTCTGTTTCTAACTTAACATATATATATAATACATGGAATTTCAGGATCGGATCAAATTTATTCTATGTGACTACCGCGAATTACCTCAAGGCTGCAAATATGACAGGATAATATCATGGTACTTACTGTATTGAACACTAGTGTTGTGAGCATGCACGATTCAATAATATATAAATTGAAATGAAATGCTGAATATTTACTTTTAGCGAGCTCATGGAGGCCGTGGGGCATGAGTACATGGAAGAGTTTTTCAAGTGTTGCGATGTTGCGTTAGCGCCTAATGGTATTTTCGTCCTTCAGGTATATATGTTTGTATGTATATTATATTATGCACGCCATTTATTGATATCCCAAATAGTCTATATTTTACTTTACTGATCAGTAGAGTCTTTCGATCATTAAATTTGTGTTTTTGGGCTTTAGACTTCAGCAATAGCAGACAACAAGTACGATGAGTACAGGCTCAGTCACGGATTCATCAAGGAATATATTTTTCCTGGAGGATATGTACCTTCGCTTAGCAGAATAACATCAGCCATGGCAGCTGCATCAAGCTTCAGGTCAAACTAAAGAATTAATTCATTTTCTACTGAAATTGATTAGAATGAATCAGCTCATCGGTGTTGTTATATTATATATAATCAATCAATCAATCAATCTAGGGTGGTGGATGTACAAGATAATGGAAGCAGTTACTATTACACCCTTAGACATTGGAGAAAAAGATTCCTTGAAAACCAGAGGTACGCACGCTATGCATAATGCACATACACACATACATACATATCTATCTTCGCTAGCTCTCACACAATATAATGCAAGAAAACACAATTAAAGGTATACTCCAAGATTTTAGTGTTTGTTCGATTATTATATAGCTAGCTGTGAATGAATAGTATTAAATAATGCAGATGATTTGTACTTGTTTTCAGCAAAATCATGGCTCTTGGATTTGACGACAAGTTCATTAGGACATGGGAATATTATTTCGACTATTGTGCTTCTGGATTTAAGGGACGTGTTCTTGGAAATTATCAGGCAAGTCTTGGATGGATTATGTATATATATATATATATATAATTATTGCTGTCATGCATGTGAATATAGATCTATATCTTTGACAGATTGTCTTTACTCGACCCGGAGACGCTTCGCTCTTGGGTAATGATCCACACGAGCCTATGATTTCTTTCTATTGATAGTTGATACCGTCCGTCCATCCATCCATCCATCCATCCATCCATCCATCAGTTGATTTCTTCATCTTCCAATGGATCGATTGCACCTCTCTCAGTTATAATCGGAGTTACTGCAACCTTGTGTGTGCGAGTGAACCTTCATATGCTGAATTAATATATTGTTGTGTGTATATGGACAGAATGAGAAATAAGACCTTATTGTATTGTAACTGTTATGTGGACCTGGATTATGCATGTGCATGTAATATCCCTTCAATAAATAAAAAATCGTATATTTTTACGGTAATATTCTTATATTTGTATAATTTACTCTACTGAATATCATTGTATTTGTATTATATGAGACTAATCCCATGTATTTTGTTTTTGTCATTTGTCTTGTAGTACATTTTTTATATAATAATTAATATTAAAAAAAATTGTATAGGATCCGTTGGAATGAGGCAGTAATAATTTAAAATTAAAATTAGAATATACCAGCAAATTATTATCATTTTTTTTTAAATATGGTTTTATATTATAATATAATATTTTAAAAAATACTACAATTTTATCATAATAAATATATATTACTACTGTCCTCCATATTTAATTTTTCAATTATTGAATATAATATATTATCATTGTGGTGAAAGTAGATTAGATACTTATACTTTCTTCGTCGAATCGTTAAATTATATTTATTTATTTTTCAAAACCTTTACTTTCTTAATTTTTGATTTCAAATATTTATTTGCAAAAATCGTAAATTTTGCTCTTCATTTTATTCATATGTTTATTTTTATGTAAAAACTTATATAAATAATAATAATAATTAATAAATACAAATTTAAGTAAATTGATATATTGAATGATAATAAAATAAAAAATATTAATATACAAAAATATTATTATGATAAAATATTTCTACATCATTAATAATTATAAAAATATATTTATAAAAGAATGTTGGGTTAATTTTCAATCAAATATGATAATCAAGATTTTCAACGTCTCGACCTGAAAGATGAAAATTCAGAATTTCTTTTTTAAATTAAATTATAACAAATAACGAAAGTTAGTGCATGACAAACGAGTATTCCTAATGATATGTAGGAAATGAGATCGTAATATAATCGAAATAAAAATGATGATAATGAAGATGAAAATAACAAAAATAATGAATAATAATGTATTTTTTTAATTAAAACTTTTTTATTTTTATTTAATAATTTCAATAGTTATATATATATATATATCTATATCTAGTATGTTTTATATAAATTTATAGAATTATATAAATCAATAAAAATTATTCTAACCATCCTATGAAATTCATATAAATTTATAAATAATCCAATCAAATTCATAAAAATTCATTTTAATCAATTAATAAAATCCACAAAACTCTAAATAGACTCTGTGCATTTAGAAAATTCATAAAAATTCAATAGACATTTTCAAATCCAATAAAATCGGATCAAAACCCAAATAAGTACACCCCTCAGTATAAGAAAAAACATTTCCTATAGCATTTTCCCATATCTATTCTTGAGTTTGATGGTTTCGGACATAAATTTTTTTATATAATTAATATTAAATTAGTATTATTTTAATTTTTAACTTTTTTTTATTTTAATAAAATAATTATTTTGTTTGTTCTATCTTCAATAGAAATAAATTATTTTTTCATAAAATATTATATTTAAATCAAAATCAAATAAAAATTTTAAAATTAAATAATTTTAAACAAAGTGTAATATAAATATATATAGGGATTACTCGTATACATATATTGATACATTTTACTTATATGTACATATATATTTTGTACAAATGGGCCCTTAGTAGGGCTGAGGTGGTCTATGTCCACTTATCAGATTACAATTTACTTTTTGGTTTCAATTAATAATGGAGAGCCTCAATTAACATTAAACAATATCTTATCTTAAACTAATGTATTACCCATCGTATTTCAAATTTTGGGTGTTGCACATATAATTTATTATGTTAGGTTTTGTGTAGTCTCACTTTATATATACTAGGCTTGTACCACGTTACACCATACTGCTTCGACTTTGTACATCAGAGTCTTATTTGTACTATATTATTTTGAGGAGAAAATAAGCAGTCGAGGTGTTTATGGCATGAAAATATAAATATATATATATATATATATAACTAAAAAAATGTTTGTGTGTTTGAACCTTTAAGGTAAAACATTCCCTAAACTCCACAAATGTACAATAAATGAACAATTTATGGAAAAATATTTCATTCAAATTATAAATAAATAAATAAATAATTCATATTTTGATAGAGTGATCATATATTCACTTTTGTTAGTCATAGTGGAGTAATTGAATTTATTTTAGACCAATGGATCCCGAAATTAAGTAAACTTTAGGATGAGATATATAGAGTGTGCTCTCGAAGCTAAAAACTAATCTTGATATTATTCTAGTCATGACACGTAACGGATAGGATATAAATTTCAGGACAAATTGGTACAGGAAACTTAGTCATGATCATGACCGAGTCTCACATAACAATTTGAAATTTTAGTGATTAAGTTCATTGAGACACAATAACATAGCTAATTTAGTCATGATCATGACTAATTTTTTTATGTTATAGAAAAATTTTCATTATCTTCAATTTTAAAATTGGGTATATTAATGAACTAATGTGTCTGTTGGGAATTTTGGCCGTTCGAGGCCAAACCCGACAAATCCCTTGGAAATAAAAATTAGTTGGAACATCTCAGTAATCCGGCCCACTGGATTGGCTCAATCCTATTACCCAAACCCTTTACCCAATCCTTTTTCTCCAAGCCCAATTTTTTGGTTATATCCGTGAGTAGTTTTGGGTGATTGAAAGAGATTAAAAACCGTGAGGTCGGTTTGGAGTGAGTTTCAGAGAGTTACAACCGATTAGAGAGGTGGGAGAGGAGCTTCGTGGGAGAGACTGAGAGTGGAAGCGAGAGGATTCTGGTGAGTTTTCCGGTAAGTAAATAGCCCTTTGCAATGGCCGATTTAGGTGGGTGTCGAGACGTGGAATAACGAGCCGACCTCCTACCTTGTGGCGTGATTACCTCGGGCCATTCTCGCACCAAGGCTCTAAGCCGATATCCGCCGTCTCTTCGCCACCGGTGAAAGATTGAATAAGATAGGAGAAGAAACGCTTCCGGACATCGCTAGACTGCCGGAGATGAAGGCCAGAGCGACGCAGCTGCCGGAGCCGAACTGCGCCGTTGCTCGTCGGTGGAGGAACACTCGGTGAAGTTCCACCCGCGCCGCCGCTGCCCTTTGTCTGCAAAAAATCTTCCGTTGTCTGTCGCGAAGACGAAGAACAAATTCTTTAATTTGGTTGACGAACAGGGAGTTGATTTTTCAATTTCCAATTCAATTTAATTAGGCGTATTTTTTTTGCTTGTTTGTTTCTGTTTTGTTTTTCTTTTCTAGATTAGTGTTAAACTTAATATGTGTTTAATTTTAGGTAAAATTACTTATAACTCCCTTGTAGTTTTGAAATTCAGCGTAAAATCTCTCTATACTTTACAAATTGCATGGTACCCCCTTATACTTTAAAAAACGTTGCATGAAACCCCACCACCATGAAACTTTCCTCATGTGATAAAAAAGATGATTTCCTATCTATATGTTTTACATGGCAGGGGGGTTTCATGCAATATTTTTGAAAGTATAAGGGAGCGTCGTGCAATTTTTTAAAGTAAAGTGGGGATTTATGCTAATTTTCGAAACCACAGAGTGGTTTCATGCAACATCTTTTTAAGTATAAGGCAGTTGTTGAGTAAGAAAAAAACCAATGTACAGGGTTTTCGAGAATGGGCCTAGGGCTGTGGACTGGTGTATAGTTCAGTGGGCCTGTTAATGACAGTGGGATCCTAAATGGGTCTGAATATAAGCCAAACGGCCCAAGTATTATTTAGACATGGTCGGGCAAAAGGAGGTCGGACGAAAGATGAGATGGCCGATACAGAGATCGGTCAAAATGAGGTCGGACGAAAGATGAGACGGCCGATACAGAGGTTGGTCAAAATAAGGTCGGGCGGAAGATGAGACGGCCGATACGGAGGTTGGTCAAAAGGAGGTCAGGCGAAAGATGAGAAGGCCGATACGGAGGTTGATCAAAAGGAAGTCGGGCGAAAAAAGATGAGACAGCCGATACGGAGGTCGGATGAAGAGGAAAGTGGGCTTCTAACAGCCCATTTGAAAGAAAGGTCTGCTAATTGGTCGCTTAATTAAGCGATCTGTTAATCGCCTAATCGATTGGCCGGTTATTTGGTCAAACAGTAGTTCAGTCGCTTGAAAGGGCGGTCAGTTGGTCGTTTGATTGGGCGATCGATTGAATCGTTTGGTCGACTGATTGTTCAGCCGATTGAAGGGACTGGATGGTTGTCGCTTGATTGGGCGATCGATGAATCATCTGGACGAATGGTTGTTCAGCTGTTTGAAGGAACTGAATGGTGGTCGCTCGAGTGGGCGACTGATTAGTCGTTGGGTCTAGCGACCAATTAGTATTTGGATTGGTCGGTTGGTCAATCGTTGGGTTATTCGGTAGGTTCAGTAGGTGGATGGTCCAGACGATTTTTCAGTCGGGTGGTGATTTATGATCCGTCTGAAAAGGCGAAGGTTGTTTTCAAAGTTATAGGGTCGAGCAAACGGTTGCTAAATATAAATGCGACTAAAGATAGTTTTTCAAATGGTTGTAAACACGAGGAGGTTTCTCTTTCAGTTATAACTGGTAGTGCACGATCTGATAACTGACTTAGAAAGCAGTTCTGAGACGGTTAGAAGAAGTTACAACTGGCAAGCTGATACAAAGGCACGATCTGGTCGTGGCGGTTGACATGGGTTTTAAATAGGTCCTTTCATGGCCTGAAGAAACCATCTTCAATCGACATCAGTGAATTGCTTTTGGGGATCACCATTTACTTTTTCAGTCTGTAGTATTTATTTTCCTAGTTTACTTATGTATCGTATGGTGTCTAGAGATTCTTAATCTTAGGCATTTATTTTATCAAATTTGAAGATAATTTCTATTTTCGGGTTTTACTTTTTAATTGTTGAAAATCGGCATCAACAACAGCGTTATGCAATTTTTGAAGTAGAGGGGAGATTTATGCTGAGTTTAGAAACCACAAGGGAGTTATGGAAAATTTTGCCTTAATTTTAATTCGATTCGGTTTAGTTTGGTTTGGGTATAATTCGATTAATTGTTCCCGCTAATAATAATTTGTATTTTTGTATACGATGTTTATTTGATCTAAAAGGATCCGGGAAT